GGGCTCCGTGGGGCGCGAGGGGCGGGCTGTGCTGCTGGGCGCGCCGCCTCGGAAGGCCGTCCCGGGATTCACTTCCGCCACGTCCCCACGATGGGGACCCCGTCCCCCACCAGGCAGAGGCGAGGACCCCGAAAGGCGGGGACCCCGAAAGGCGGGGCACCACCTGCGCAGCCCACGGGACCGTGGCTCCTGTCCTCAGGTCCCCCACAGCGTGGAAGCTCTGCCTTGCCCGGCACCAGTCAGTGAACCCTGAAGGCCTGATGGTGCCAGGGCCCGGCCATGTTGGGTTCTGGCCCAAGGCCGCCTCCGCCTGCTGGCATTCTTAAGAGACCTCAATCACGGAAGACTTCCTGTAGGAGGAGGCCTTGGGGATTTTTCTGAGACTGGAGGCAGGAGGCTGCCGCAGAGAGCTGGGCGCAGCCAAGTACCCACTGCCCCTGGGTAGCCCCTTCTGCCGCAGACGGGAGGGTGGCTCAGGGCAGTACTGGAGTGCGGCCCGCCACTCCTGGCCGGGCCTCTCCCTGTGCGGGGAGCCGTGGGCACGGGGCGTGGTGGCCTAACTCCTGCAGCCCCAGGCAAAGCGCCACGGCCCAGGCCCCGGCAGACGGCCACGCGCTGGGTGCCCAGTGGGGCTGCGGGCGTCCAGCTGCCCGCTGGTCTCTGAGGCCGCAGGCCTCACCCCGAGGGTGTTGGCGGGGGCCTGGTAGCTTGGGGCGGGGGCACAAGCATCGGGGCCTCACTCCAGCGCTGACCTGGTGCGCCACCCTGCCCAGTGGGCGGCCCTCTCGGGCGCGGTGACGGCACCACCCCAGGGAGGGGCGTTGACGCTGGGCAGCCAGCTCCCCCACCAGCACACCCCCTCCCCACCCTCCATGCTGGCAGCTGCCCAGGCGGTCAGCCTGGGGCCCAGCACCTCCGTGGAGGTCAGGACTCTGCCTGCTGGGTCACACCAGAGAGAGCAGCCAATGCCGCCGTGCTGGGGGCCCAAGCACAGGCCGAGGGGCCCGGCCACATCCAGGGGCGAGTGCGCTCCCCCATGTCTGCAAGGAAGTGAGCCGGCTGGCAGGCAGGCCCCCCTCCCCAGGGCCTGTGGGCGCCACCTGTCAGTCCCTGCGCCCTGGCCCCTCCGGGGACAATGCCGGACCCACAAACGCCTCTCCAGGGCGGAGAGCGGCCAGGAGGGAGGCGGCCAGGGAGGGCAGGGCAGGGGCGCCCTGCTCAGCAGCCTGGACTGAAGGCCCGCAGGGGCCTGGGTGCAAACCGAGACAACAGCTTGCCGAGACCCGGACAGCGCGGCCGGACACCGGGCTCCGCAGCGCGACTCCGGCCTCGGTCTGCGCTGGGGGCTCCCCGTCACCGCAGGACTGCCTGGGGCTGGGGGCTGCGGCGACGGGCTGACGGCAAGGGCTGCGCCCACAGCGAGCCCTCACCCTTGCCTGGAGCACCCGCCTCAGCGCTCCTCTGAAAAGTTTCATGGCGCAGAGCTGGGTGCCAGGGCCAAGCTGGGCAGCCCCGGAAAAAAGGGAAGGGGAACCGCGGGTGCCGGGAACACCCCCGCGGGCTGGGCCCGCCGACCGGTCCCGGCGGCGGGGGAGGGGTCGGCCGAGTGCTGGGCTCCACCTGCCCCTCCCTCGGCGGGCGGCGGGGCGGGCTGCGCCTTCGCTCCCACACCGGGACCCCAAAAGACCACAAGGGAGCCGGCGCGGGCACCCCTGGCTCCGCGGGTCCTCAGTCTCCCCCGTGGCGAGCCCGGGGGGCTCCCTCGGACAAGCGACAGGGCAGCGAGCCCCG